TTGAGAAAAGGAGCCAAGAAGCGCTCAGTGAGTGCAGATAACCTGACAGTGGTCAGATGGTCCCCGGCCATCATATCCTAATATCGGTGGACGTCGCGGACTTTCACGAGAGACGGAGAAAAAGAAACTGTCAGAAGAAGCGTTCTCTGAGAGGACACAAACATGCTTCGTACCTCCACGAGACTCTTGAGCCTTTCTCCCTGCTGGTCGTATGGCTGCTGTATATACGAGACACCCACACAAAGATCACTTTCCAACCTGTGGCTTAGAGGAGAGAGCGAGAGAGAGAGACACTGCTACTGCAGTTCAGAAAACAGGAGGATATATAATCGAGGGAGAAAGATGCCTAATGACTGGAACAGCATTCCTACAGCTCTGTGTCATACATGTTTGCCATTCTAGGTGAGGAAGTGTTCGCACCATGATCTTGTCTGGTTAGAAAAGTGTCGTATCAAGATGGCCAAAATCAACCACTTCTCAAGATATCATTCCTAAAAGTGTTGTTTTTTTTTTTTGATCACACTATTAAATCACCACTGTAGTTATACATACTGTTATTTAACATTTTGTTTAAGATTTATTTTAGTTAAATTAAAAGCATCCTTAATGACGGTTTATTAATCTGAAATTAGTCTTTAATAATTGCACATTAATGGGGAAAATATACAATTTGGATATCTCTGTTTAGTCGAATTATTTTATTTATTTATTTCCCAATTTGTAATCAAGGCAGTTTGTGTCATTTAGTCTTGGCTTTGTATTTGAAGAGTTCAGATGCAAAAGCCTCTAAGTGCCATTTGAAATTTTCTTCTAGAATGATCATTTTTATCAAGCTTGTATATTTAAGTTCACTAATTTCACTTAAATTGCAATGAAGATTACCTATTAATTGTCATTTAAGTGAAATTACTGAACTTAAATATACAAGCTTGATAAAAATGGTCATTTTAGAAGAAAATTTCAAATGGCATTTAGAGGCTTTTGCATCTGAACTCTTCATTTACAAAAGGTGTGTGTTCCCATGTGACGCTCCTGGGACTTTCCTTTTCAAGCGGAAATTAAAATAATTGGATGCCATGAAAAAAAAAAAGTCAAAATAGCCTGAAATTGGATGTTTTAATGCTTTTTCTTTCTGCAAAGCCAACAATGACGTTCCACGACCTTGTATAAGCTTTACATTCGTATTATTTTTATACATATTTCACCCTTCGCTTCAACAAACGATGGATATACACATGCTGCGTCAGTCATTTCCAAATCCTCAAAGCAATACATGCTCTATTGTATACAGAACCTGCTAGAAAGATTGGAGTTCAATTTTGAAAGGGTTCCTATTGGTTATAATTGATGTCTTGAAGTCCTAAAACATGCTATTAAAGGTGATGCTGATAGTACCACTGCGATACAAATGTTCTGGCAGATTGCAGTGTTTGATTTGTCAATTACAATGCGTCGAACCAGAGACAGAATTGAATAGATGAAGAGGAATTCCTGCTGTATCCACTGCCATCACCTGTGGTGCCTGCGTTCAGCGGGAATATGGCCTTAGAAATAGAATATCAAAATTAACCATGCTATCTTCCATTCTCAATAAGACATCGAAGTTAGTTTTTACCAAAAGAAGTTAGTTTTTTTTTAAAGCGGTTCTTCCGCTCAGATGTGTGCGATTATGATTCGTTATATATAATGTGATTCGTCTGCTGAGAGACATATTGAGAATTACAACTTCCAAAAATATCTTTTGTATATTGTACATACTTAAACGTACTTAAAGAAATGTAATTATGATCTTGAGATATTTATATGTGACCAGTATTTAGTTTTCTTAATTCGTATTCAATTCTGGTCAGTGATGGTGGATAAGAATTTGAAAAATATATAAGTATGTTGGTTGTTTTGTCAGGAATAAGTCAATCTTCTGGGATCTGACACGGTTTTCTGACACAGCGCTGTTATTGAGTTTCCTTCATTTTGTTGTCCTCAATTGAGTTTCCAGTTAAGTTGAAATTAGTTTTTTTACGCACCACAAAAATTGGTAAAGCAATTTCACAAGGTTATGGTGACATGAATGTATCTTTTCGTTTTAGCAGCAATGATAAAAGAAAGCAATTTTCCATACTTCTTGCTACAGATGACATCAAAATGGCTGTTATTTTCAAGCATTGTGTGTTTATTCTTACATTTTATTATAATTTAGATTTTTTTTATTGTATCTCCAATGCCCAACAAAGTCTTCACAAATTTACTTAAATAATTTAATCTAATATAATCTGCACACTTTGTGTCTTAGTATACAATACAGTGAGTCGGCTATGTGATGTTAACGCATCCAACTGGACATACGAAGGTTATACATTGTTTGCAAAATCAAAAGACAAAATAAGTTATATTTTGCATGAAAACAATTGAGCCTCTTAGGACCATCCAATTTTATTAATTGTCATATATATATATATATATATATATATATATATGCAACTTTTTATCTCACAATTGTGAGTTTCTGAGAAAAAAAAGTCGGAAATGCGAGAAATAGTCCACTCTGACCTTTTTTTTCTCGCAAATGTGAGTTTATATCTCACATTTCAAGTCGCCGTAAACAAACTTGACGTAAACAAGTTTCCATACGAATTAACATTTTTTTGGGGGGAAATGTGGTTAATAGGCTTAAAGGGATACTCCACTTTTTTTGGAAATAGGCTCATTTTACAACTCCCCCAGAGTTAAACAGTTTGGTTTTACCGTTTTTGAATCCATTCAGCCGATTTTCTGATATTTAGAAGAATATCAGTAAGCAGACAGTTTCTGGTCTCATTGACTTCCATAGTAGGAAAAAAATATACTATGGAAGTCAGTGAGACCAGAAACTGTCTGGTTTACCGATAATCTTCTAAATATCAGAAAATCGGCTGAATGGATTCAAAAACGGTAAAACCAAACTGTTTAACTCTGGGGGAGTGGTAAAATGAGCCTATTTCCAAAAAAAAAGTGGAGTATCCCTTTAAGCCTATTAACCACATTTCCCCCCAAAAAAATGTTAATTCGTATGGAAACTTGTTTACGTCAAGTTTGTTTACGGCGACTTGAAATGTGAGATATAAACTCACATTTGCGAGAAAAAAAAGGTCAGAGTGGACTATTTCTCGCATTTCCGACTTTTTTTTCTCAGAAACTCACAATTGTGAGATAAAAAGTTGCATATATATATATATATATATATATATATATATGACAATTAATAAAATTGGATGGTCCTAAGAGGCTCAATTGTTTTCATGCAAAATATAACTTATTTTGTCTTTTGATTTTGCAAACAATGTATAACCTTCGTATGTCCAGTTGGATGCGTTAACATCACATAGCCGACTCACTGTATTGTATACTAAGACACAAAGTGTGCAGATTATATTAGATTAAATTATTTAAGTAAATTTGTGAAGACTTTGTTGGGCATTGGAGATACAATAAAAAAAATCTAAATTATAATAAAATGTAAGAATAAACACACAATGCTTGAAAATAACAGCCATTTTGATGTCATCTGTAGCAAGAAGTATGGAAAATTGCTTTCTTTTATCATTGCTGCTAAAACGAAAAGATACATTCATGTCACCATAACCTTGTGAAATTGCTTTACCAATTTTTGTGGTGCGTAAAAAAACTAATTTCAACTTAACTGGAAACTCAATTGAGGACAACAAAATGAAGGAAACTCAATAACAGCGCTGTGTCAGAAAACCGTGTCAGATCCCAGAAGATTGACTTATTCCTGACAAAACAACCAACATACTTATATATTTTTCAAATTCTTATCCACCATCACTGACCAGAATTGAATACGAATTAAGAAAACTAAATACTGGTCACATATAAATATCTCAAGATCATAATTACATTTCTTTAAGTACGTTTAAGTATGTACAATATACAAAAGATATTTTTGGAAGTTGTAATTCTCAATATGTCTCTCAGCAGACGAATCACATTATATATAACGAATCATAATCGCACACATCTGAGCGGAAGAACCGCTTTAAAAAAAAACTAACTTCTTTTGGTAAAAACTAACTTCGATGTCTTATTGAGAATGGAAGATAGCATGGTTAATTTTGATATTCTATTTCTAAGGCCATATTCCCGCTGAACGCAGGCACCACAGGTGATGGCAGTGGATACAGCAGGAATTCCTCTTCATCTATTCAATTCTGTCTCTGGTTCGACGCATTGTAATTGACAAATCAAACACTGCAATCTGCCAGAACATTTGTATCGCAGTGGTACTATCAGCATCACCTTTAATAGCATGTTTTAGGACTTCAAGACATCAATTATAACCAATAGGAACCCTTTCAAAATTGAACTCCAATCTTTCTAGCAGGTTCTGTATACAATAGAGCATGTATTGCTTTGAGGATTTGGAAATGACTGACGCAGCATGTGTATATCCATCGTTTGTTGAAGCGAAGGGTGAAATATGTATAAAAATAATACGAATGTAAAGCTTATACAAGGTCGTGGAACGTCATTGTTGGCTTTGCAGAAAGAAAAAGCATTAAAACATCCAATTTCAGGCTATTTTGACTTTTTTTTTTTCATGGCATCCAATTATTTTAATTTCCGCTTGAAAAGGAAAGTCCCAGGAGCGTCACATGGGAACACACACCTTTTGTAAATGAAGAGTTCAGATGCAAAAGCCTCTAAATGCCATTTGAAATTTTCTTCTAAAATGACCATTTTTATCAAGCTTGTATATTTAAGTTCAGTAATTTCACTTAAATGACAATTAATAGGTAATCTTCATTGCAATTTAAGTGAAATTAGTGAACTTAAATATACAAGCTTGATAAAAATGATCATTCTAGAAGAAAATTTCAAATGGCACTTAGAGGCTTTTGCATCTGAACTCTTCAAATACAAAGCCAAGACTAAATGACACAAACTGCCTTGATCACGTATTACAAATTGGGAAATAAATAAATAAAATAATTCGACTAAACAGAGATATCCAAATTGTATATTTTCCCCATTAATGTGCAATTATTAAAGACTAATTTCAGATTAATAAACCGTCATTAAGGATGCTTTTAATTTAACTAAAATAAATCTTAAACAAAATGTTAAATAACAGTATGTATAACTACAGTGGTGATTTAATAGTGTGATCAAAAAAAAAAAACAACACTTTTAGGAATGATATCTTGAGAAGTGGTTGATTTTGGCCATCTTGATACGACACTTTTCTAACCAGACAAGATCATGGTGCGAACACTTCCTCACCTAGAATGGCAAACATGTATGACACAGAGCTGTAGGAATGCTGTTCCAGTCATTAGGCATCTTTCTCCCTCGATTATATATCCTCCTGTTTTCTGAACTGCAGTAGCAGTGTCTCTCTCTCTCGCTCTCTCCTCTAAGCCACAGGTTGGAAAGTGATCTTTGTGTGGGTGTCTCGTATATACAGCAGCCATACGACCAGCAGGGAGAAAGGCTCAAGAGTCTCGTGGAGGTACGAAGCATGTTTGTGTCCTCTTAGAGAACGCTTCTTCTGACAGTTTCTTTTTCTCCGTCTCTCGTGAAAGTCCGCGACGTCCACCGATATTAGGATATGATGGCCGGGGACCATCTGACCACTGTCAGGTTATCTGCACTCACTGAGCGCTTCTTGGCTCCTTTTCTCAAGTCTTTATATTTGTCGTCACAAAGCCTGGAGATCGCCTGTGAGAAACGTGAGATAGACACAATTTCATTTATTCCTGTGATCAAAGCTGAATTTTCAGCATCATAACCTTCAGAAATATGATATGATAATTTGCGCCTCAAGAAACATTTCTGATTATTATCAATGTTGAAAACAGTTGTGCTGTTGTGCGATTCTTTAATCAATAGAAAGTTCAGAAGATTTTAAGATGTAAAAACCCTAACATTTTAACCTCTTAACTGTCACTTTTTCCAATATAGTTTTAGTTTAATTTATTATTTATTTATTTTTTATCAAACAATTTCTTTAAAGAATCTTAATGACCCCAAACATTTTAATGATAGTGTATTTCAGTCTATGAACTTTTCAACATAATTTGCACTTTCACTCTCTGGGATTTTAATGAGACCATGATATTGCCTTTTCTCAGCTACAAATACAGCTTTGATTACTTCCATTTAATAACACTGAATAAAAAAAAAGTAGGGCTGTGCAAAAGTTAATTACGATTAATAAAAGTAATAAAATATACAAATATATAAAAATAATAAAAATACAAAATAAAAGTCTCTGTTTACATAATATATTTGTGTGTGCTGTATATGATTATTTTGTATATATAAATACACACACATGCATGTATATATTTAAGAAAATATGTTATTCATATATAAAATATTTATATTTATATAATATAGATTATGTATTTATAAATATATACAGAATTTAACCGCAAATAATTCTTAAATATATACATGCATGCATAGGTATTTATATATACAAAATAATTATATACAGCACACACAAATATATTATGTAAACACAGACTTTTATTTTGGATGCGATTAATCGCAATTAACTTTTGCACAGCCCTAAAAAAAAGGTATTACTTTTTTTTTTTAAGCTTTAATACATTCCTTTGACTTAGGCCTAGAAAACTATTTGTTTCCAGGTTTTTCATGACTGTGGAACTGGACTATCTGAAGCCTTTCCCTGAACTGGGTCTGAATGGAAATAGGCAAGTATAATTATAGTGTATATATCTGTATATGTTTCTATTCAATTCAGTATTTCTATTCTGTAGAACAAACCACCCAAAGCTGCCTTTTACTCAAGTTGTTCCCCATGCAAGGAACTACACTGCGACCAAAATGGTCGCATATGCGACCTTTTGAAATCCCATTGCGACCCTAATTTTTAATGGGTCGCAAATGTATCACTGACTATTTTGACGGGTCTGGGTTTTTTTTTTAGTTTCTTTCGGGTTGTATTTAATCTTCTAAAACCTGTCGGATCGTCCGCTTTTTGTCCCGCCAAAGCCTTTTTTGATCGCGGTGAGTGTTGTGGAGTAGAATGACTGATGCGTTTGACAGGGCGCAAACGAGCTGAGAGAGAGAGCGCGCCCTGGCCGCGCGCGCACTATCACGTCTTCACACAACACAAGCGTTGTCTTGCTCTCTCTCTCTCTATCGCGCGCATATTATTCAAATGACATGATAGTAAAAGGTTTGTGTCTTTATAATAGGTATGCTAATCATAATCATATAGGCTACCATCTGAGCCTGCATGGCGGCAGGAAAAAGACGCAGAGATGTAAGACACCGTGTCTCTTCCTTACACCAAAGGTAGATTTGCGGTCTGGTGTTCGGCTGATAAACTCTGCCATGAGCTAACTAATTATATTGCTAGCGCTGATATTGACATCGACTAACGTTATATGATCACTAGCAGTTTTTTAGACTAACGTTAGTTTTTTCATAATCATAATCGCGTGATTCGCGTCAAGACACCTGATTGGCTAATACTACACACTGAAGATAAATTAAATGTTTTATTAAATAATTACTGAAAATATCCCTCTCTTCATCCCACACCCCAAACATGACATACAAAATGTTGTGGAACAGAAACAACCAGAGATATATTTATAAGCTATCATTTTATTGTCATCACAGCTTTCCAACAGTCCTGCGTATGATTCTACATTGATTAAAAAAGAAAATCAAATGTGTTTTAATGGTAATTATTTTATACGGAAATCATGTATTTATAATTCAGATGAGAATAAAGTTAGGGTTAGTTAAAATTAAGGAAAACAAATATTGATCTGAAATATTGCAAATTAATTTTACATTCATTCAAGTACAATTACCAAACATATATCAAGGTCATTTTGTCTTTTTATTAATTTAATTAATAAACTAATTATTGTCAGTGCACTACAAATAAACTGGTTCTATGCCTTTATTAATAAAACTTAAACAACTTAAAAAATGCGAGGCTTAAGAAATTTATAAAAATGCCTTCTGCATTTTTGTTTTGCTTTTCACTCCATTGTACCGAAATCGTACCGAACCGTCTGAATGTCTGAACCAAGGTATGAACCTGACCAAACCGTGACTTCTGTACCGTTCCACCTCTAATGCAGTTTCATTATTATTCATTACTATCCAGAGTGCGGCTTACTATAAATAATTTGTGCGACCAAATCATGTTTTGCGCCAGTAACTGAAAAAGTTAGTAGCGCAAGTGCCACCAGTGGAAAAGGTTAGTGTAGTTCCCTGCCATGGTTCTGTTCTAGGCCCTTTTTTTCTCTAAATGATCTTCATTATTATTATTATTATCTACTGAATTATGAGAGATGACAATAACATTGAGTAGAAACAGAATTAGCTAGATAGACATTTTATACAAGTGAAAGTGTCACAAAAATATATGCCAAACCTACTTTCGAATGCACGAACCAAATTTCCAAGTGCAAACACCTCCAATAATAAGTCAGAAAAAGTTTCAATATTGAGACAAGATACAGTTTGCGTCCGTTATTTTGAGGTGACAGCTGATTGTTTGTGGGAGTGTATAAAGAGGGCCAGTGCAAAATGGAAGCGGGGGTCTGGTCCTTGTGAAAGAACTGGATCACAAACCACTGATTGAGCTGTCCACCCACAGACCACTGACTCTAGATGGGCTACTACATCACCAAACGCAACCACACAAAAACACACACATAACTAACATCATTATAGGCCTGGTGTTGTCGGGACTGTAATTGGGCAGCATTGAGGCTGAACGCTGGCAAAAGACACACATGGGGATTCAGGCGAGGTAATTACTCAGCCCTGCTGCTACTGAACCAATGGACCAATACAACATGTCACCATATTCCTTCTTTTCGAGAGTTGTAACACAAAGCAATCTTTTAAGTTTCACTGCCATATTCCTTAGAACTTGCTGGATTAGATTCAATTTAAAGGAGTAGTTCACTTTAAAAAAAAAAAAAAAAAAACTTTTGCTGATAATTTACTCATCCCCATGTCATCCAAGATGTCCATGTCATTCTTTCTTCAGTTGAAAATAAATTCATGTTTTTGATGAAAACATTCCAGGATTTTCTCCATATAATGGACTTCAATGGGAACCAAACGGTTCAAAGTCTAAATGAGAGTTTCAGTGCAGCTTCAAAGTGCTTTAAACGACACCAGACGATGAATAAGGGTCATATCTAGGAACCTTCAAGTCATCATGACTCAAAAAAAGATTTGTTCATTTTGATGAACGAGTTTGAACAGGACAGTCACGAACACTCATCACAGAACAGAGCAAGGCGAGCATTTGTGCTTATAAAACTTAAACTTTTTTTATTTATTTTTTAAATGACCGATCGTTTCCAAGATAAGACCCTTATTCATCGCCTGGTGTCGTTTAAAGCCCTTAGAAGATGCACTGAAACTCTCATTTGGACCTTGAACCATTTGGTTCCCAATGAAGTCCATTATATGGAGAAAATCCTAGAATGTTTTCATCAAAAACCTTAATTCATTTTCGACTGAAAAAAGAAAGACATGGACATCTTGGATGACATGGGGGTGAGTAAATTATCAGCAAAAGTTTTTTTTTTTTTTTTTTAAAGTGAACTACTCCTTTAACAATCTGCCAAGATATTGAACTTTCTTTGATAACATAGAAACCAAAGAACACTGGGATGTGAATGTGCTCTTAAAATGACAGTCAGTATAGTGTGTGTTAGTGATCTGAAGCGATATTGACCCTCTCACCTCCAGTTTCTGGGCCTTGTCTCTGCTGAGAGGCTCCAGGGGAAAGTTGAGGTTGTTCGCCTCGGAAAGTGAACGCAAGTCAAAATAGTACTTGGCGTAGACGCTCGATGGAACGTTAATATTGAACTGCAGAAGCTCCAGAAACTGCCGCTCCAACTCGTTCCTGGTGGGAGAGAAAGAAAGCAAAGATAATTAGCTTTGTGAATGTTTCTTTTGACATTTGTCACTGGGCGGTAATAAGCGAAAAGGCAATCTTGACAGTCTAGCTATTGAAGAAAAGCACATTTCAAAAAAAAAAAAAAAAAAAAAATCAACGCCTTTTCATTTCAAAACCTCAATTCTGTCAAGAAACAACAAGTTCTGATCATTCGTTCATATTAAAAAAAATCGTCCTTTATACATCACCAAATTTCACAGCACTAACAAAACTTGTGTTCTACCAACCACATAATTATTCCAACGGACCAACTAAATATAGCCAACAAAAAACAACAAACCCACACTATGTGGTCCTCTGCTGTCTGTGGTATTCTTTGAGACAGTATAACAGCCTCCGTCACTGAATTTATAGTCAGGACAGTCTTTAAAATAACTGTGTACTCAGCAGGAGTTGAAAGGACAGATGTGAAAACATGCTGAAACTATTTAGTCGATTTCTTCAGGGAATATATCTATGGTACCTTAAAAGGATACTCCTCCACCCAAAAATGAAAATTCTCTCATCATTTACTCACCCTCAAGTTTTTGCAAACCTGTATGAGATTCTTTCTTCTGCTGAACACAAAGGAAGATATTTTGAAGAACGATTGGGACTTTGGCATCATTGACTTCCATAGTATTTACTATGGAAGTCAATGGTGCAAAACAACTGTTTGGTTCCAGTCGTTCATCAAAATATCTTCCTTTGTGTGAAAATGGCAAACGCTACTGTGTTATCTTGCATTTGGAGGCGGATGCTTGACGTTTGTGAATGCAATCTTGTGTGACTGTTCTGAGAGCCAAATAAGGCAGACTTTGGCTCAAACAAATTTGAGTTTGGTCTCCTGGTTAGTCCAGGTATCCAATCATATGATATGTTGGGACAAAGTCATGCGTATATAGGTATGTATTCAGTAAATGTGTTTATATCATGTCTTCTTATCTGATTAAAAATGATCTGCCTCAATTCAGTGCTTTGTTTATGTGAAATTTTAAGATTTTATGCACATCTTGCCATTCCATTCACTGTTTTTAAGTGATATGTGGATGGATAAATAGCTAATGTAGTATCTAACTGTTGTTCCACAATATTTGAGATACTTGTGGTACTGAAAGTCTGCCATTTTGAAAACAACAACAACAACAAAAGCTCACATGTCTTCCACAGTGATGTCTTTGAGGATCTGGCAGTAGTCGACATTCCATACGGCCTGATCATCCCACACCTTTGACGCCAACAGGATGGCACCCAAAACGATCCTTTTCCAGTTAGCAGGACAGATATCAATCTCTGCATATGTTAATAATCTCTCCAGATACACCTGAGAAAAGAAATGAGAGAGGAAGTGCTTCATTATCTTTACTCCAGAGATATTCTCATAATTAAGTTTAACATTAATAAGAATTGATTAACGGGCATTATTCAAAATCAAAGTGAAGTAAGTTATTGCTTGGAAATTAAAGGAGAAATTCACTTTTGAAAAAAACTTTTGCTGATAATTTACTCAGCCCCATGTCATCCAAGATGTCCATGTCTTTCTTTCTTCAGTCGAAAAGAAATTAAGGTTTTTGATGAAAACATTCCAGGATTTTTCTCCATATAATGGACTTCAATGGGAACCAAATGGTTCAAGGTTCAAACGACAGTTTCAGTGCAAACTGTAAACTGTTCAAAGGGCTTTAAACGATTCCAGACGATGATTAAGGGTTTTATTAAGCGAAACGATCGCTCATTAAAAAAAAAAAAAAAAAGTTTCCGTTTTATAAGCTCAAATGCTCGCCTTTCTCTGTTCTGTGGTGTTGTTCGTGACTCTCCTGTTCGAACTCGCTCATCAAAATGAATTAATCTTTTTCCCGAGTCAATTTGTTTGTTTCGTTCGTTGAATGGACCAAATGACTCGGAAAAAGATTCATTCATTTTGATGAGCGAGTTCGAACAGGAGAGTCACAAATGGGCATCACAGAACATAGCAAGGAGAGCATTTGAGCTTATAAAATTTAAACTTTGTTATTTATTTATTAAATAAGCGATCGTTTTGCTTGATAAGACCCTTATTCATCGGCTGGAATCGTTTAAAGCCCTTTGAACAGTTTGCACTGAAAGTGTCTTTCGGACCTTGAACCGTTTGGTTCCCATTGAAGTCCATTTTATGGAGAAAATCCTGGAATGTTTTCATCAAAAACCTTAATTTCTTTTCGACTGAAGAAAGAAAGACATGGACATCTTGGATGACATGGCGGTGAGAAAATTGAGTAATTTTTTTCAAAAGTGAACTACTCCTTTAAGTCAGCAGTAAAGAAACCAGTGTTTGTTTCTAGATTCTTGTGTCTGACCCTTCCGTTTCTGTTTTTGGAGCAACGTTATTACAGCCTCACTACAAAAATGTGATTACTGCAAGACTGACGCGCGGGTCAGGGAGCACGGATGCCGAAAGACAAACAAACACGAATGCTCAGCCGACCAACACAAACACCTGATGCCTCACTGGTAACAAACCAAATACCATTCAGTTATACTATGACACTAACATGTACCATGTAAATATAATGATTATGAAGAACATCAGTTATGTCTCAGGCCCCATCTTTGCACAGAGACAGCATTCAGAATTAAAGGAGTAGTTCACTTTTGAAAAAACTTTTGCTGATAATTTACTCACCCCCGTGTCATCCAAGATGTCCATGTCTTTCTTTCCTCAGTCGAAAAGAAATTAAGGTTTTTGATGAAAACATTCCAGGATTTTTCTCCATATAATGGACTTACATGGGAACCAGACGGTCCGAGGTCCAAACGACAGTTTCAGTGCAGCTTCGAATGTCTTTAAACGACACCAGACGATGAATAAGGGTCTTATCATGCGAAACGATCGGTTATTTCAAAACTTATTCCAAAAATGTAACTTTTCTAAGGACAAATGCTAGCCTTGCTCTATTCTGTGAGGCTCGTTTGCAACGTCACGTAATACGTAATTACGTTCAAAAGGTCACGGGCGACGTAGCCGGAAGTACAGAATCAAAATCGTCCGACATCGTTGTTTTACCTTTTAATTCCTTTTTTGTAAACGGCGTTTGAGTTAGTTTGCACGTTCAACCTATGCAGTCAACTTGTAAACACTCTGACTCTGTACTTCCGGCTACGTCGCCCGTGACCTTTTGAACGTAATTACGTATTACGTGACGTTACAAACGCGCCTCACAGAATGGAGCAATGCTAGCATTTGTCCTTAGAAAAGTTACATTTTTGGAATAAGTTTTGAAATAACCGATCGTTTCGCATGATAAGACCCTTATTCATCGTCTGGAGTCGTTTAAAGACATTCGAAACTGCATCTGAAACTGTTATTAACTGTCTTTTGGACCTTGAACCGTCTGGTTCCCATGTAAGTCCATTATATGGAGAAAAATCCTGGAATGTTTTCATCAAAAACCTTAATTTCTTTTCGACTGAGGAAAGAAAGACATGGACATCTTGGATGACATGGGGGTGAGTAAATCATCAGCAAACGTTTTTTCAAAAGTGAACTAATCCTTTAAAAATGACTTTCCTCTTTTCTTATACTTCCGCGTAGGCTGTGTGTAGCACCCTGACGTGAACCTCTCCATAAATGTAACAACGCGTCAATTCTACGCGTACCGCAATCGCTGTGATTGGTCTGCTAGAATCCCTCCCTCGGGTTTCACATGTTCCCTCAGCATGTGTAATTGCGCGTCAACGTGGACAACGGCGCAGAAGTATAAATGAAAACCAATGCATAGTCTATGGCGTAGAGGCTCCGACGCGGAAGTATAAATCAGCCTTTAGCTCTGCTGCTTTTGGCATTATATATCATGGAATATTCTTACATGTATTAGAAAACTACACTGGCAATCAAGGAGAGGGGTTAAGCTGGTTTAGACCCTGCTTATCTTAATCTGACCATTACTAGTTTGATTGTTTACTAGCATTTCTGACACTGGTAAACTATGGAGTGCCACAAGGATCTGTGTCAGGCCCCCTGCTGTTATAATTTACATGCTGCCCCTCTGAAATATTAAGAAACATGTTTTTTCTCCACCAACAATGTAGATTTTGCTCACTCATGCTCACTGAGGCTCAAAGAGATTTTAAATAAGGCCAAATGACACTGTATCAATGAAACGTGTATTACTTTGAAAATATGTATTGTCAAACAGACAAGTGACAACTAGACAAGTGTATTATATTGAGCCTTGGTTACTGTTTTTAAGGCTAATTTTTTGGCTATTTATAAATACAAATTAGTGTAGAAGTCATAGCCACAATGCTAAATTATTTTGGGTTGTTTCCCTTCCCAGGTGCTGCTATGTTGTTACAAAAGTATTTGGGGTCATTATTAGCATGTAGCTAAGCTAAAAGCTCTGACTACTTAAAAAGAAAAAAAAAGAACAGCTATTCTTTGTCACATGTTTCGAAGTATTTGTTCGTGTCTGTAGGATGTTACAAGTCAAAGTCTACTGCTATGTTTAGGGGCCGAGTAGGAGCAATATAGATGGTTGCCTTATTACCACCAATAATCTTCCTTTGTGTACTTGTAAAAAGAAAGCTATAAACATTGCTTACTGAGTGGTTGAATTGTAAGTCTGTGTTCTGTTGACCTAGCATGTGACGGTATGCTGTAGCCATGGGCGTCTTTAGCATTCAGAAACACTGCTGATGGATGTAGGCGAACAAAGACGTTCTTATTAAATGAAAAGCTCATGATGTATGCATTTAGAAAAGAGACGTAGAAGCACTAACGCTCACAATCCACACTGAATGGGGGACAACAATGTCAAATAAGATTATTTTGCCCACAGTGGGAAAGTTATCTAACAAGAAGCCAATTTTTTGCAGAAAGTGTCAGACAGAAATCACACGTTTAATTGGTTCCACTGCATTGCGGGGCTCCAGCTCACCCGTGGGCAACTGTGTGCAAAATATGTGCTTAGAAAAACATGTTTGTGTATATATTCATTCATAATCATCAACAACAGTCAGACTCACTCAGCGCCTTCCAGAAAAACGCTAACCTAGGTAGAGCTATTAAAACATAATTGAGTTTTTATTCTGTTGAGTCATAAACACAGAGTGATAAACATTTAATTAACATTAATTAAATAAAGATGTCCTGGTAAGCATTATTTATATATAATATTATAGTGTATTTTATATTTTAAATTAGCTTCAATTTTAATTAAAGTTTTAGTCATTTGTTTTGTGTTTTTTTTCCTTATTAATTTCAAATTAGCTGTAGTTTATTTTTATTTCAGTTTTAGTCATTTTAACCTTCAAATGGCCTTCACTTCTGGGCTTCCCCAATAAATGATTGAGTAATTGTACAAAAAAAATATAGATTTTTAATCATACAAATAATATATAATTTTTTTTGTTTACTTCTCATCTATTCATTAATGCTGTGCTTTTGGAGATATTTTGTATCCATACACCACACAATTCCTCAACTACACCATTAGCTTGTATATGAAATATTACTTGCATATGAAATAATATTTTAAAATAATATTTTAAAATATTATTAAATTTTATTAGTTATTTTGATGAAAAACTAGACAATTAGAAGTGTCAACCGTGGCAATAAAATAAAATCAATTTATACCAATTTATACTGTATATATATATATATATATATATACAGTGTATACAGGGCTCCAGACTAACTTTTTTTACTAGGAGCGCTGTTGCCCCTGACTGAAAATTTTAGGAGCGCAAGCAAAAAATTTAGGGGCACACCTTAAATAAGCTTGCAATGCAATTATTCAAATTTCCCACAAAATAACTGTAATACTGACAAATTCTTTAATAATAAATAGACTTAACATTATGATATGCTGTTTTATTTTAACTTTACAGGGCTCCAGACCCAAAGTTGAGGGCAGCATCACCTCAAATGAGAACTCACAGTTCTCTAAAAAAAAAAAATAAAAAAAAATCTGGTAGCACTGGGGCTAACAATAAATCACTAAGCTTAATTTAGGGTGTAGATGAAATTAACTTTAGTTTTTATCATTTTATCATTTCCTCAATAAAAGTAGTGAAAATATGTATATGGAGTGAAAATAGCCAATAAACATCCTACTGTTTACAATGGTATTATTATTATTATTATTTTAAGTGTTTAAATAAGAGTTTTCCAACATCTTAAAATTGTTCGTTTAAGGACAATCTTTAAAGGGTGAACAAAAAATGTGTTGGTATGGTAATCGCATAAAAAATACAAAAAAATAAAACATTTATATATGATATTATTGAAGTGCTGGGAAAGGATGTGTAGTAGGCTACTTACACATTATCATATTTATGGTAAGAGTTAACTTGCCTAAATTCATGGTTCTGTTAGGCTGATTTGTGGACTGAAAGCCTTCTATAAGTGCTTTTCCTGGTTTCCACGTCAGCGCTGTTTGATCTGATATGGTTTATAACAGAACTCTGCGCCGAATCGGAGTGTTCACTGGATCTTGTGGTGTTAATGTTATTAATTCTGAGGCGAATTCAATGGATTTCTTCACTGGCTCTCCTAGTAACAGTGTTGCGTGAGCGAGATCGGCCCGCGACTGGCAAGTTCGGGGCTTTATTTTGTCAATGGTTCGGATCGCTGCTGCAGCTCCACGGTCCTAATCATACACGAGTAGCGTATTTTCGTTCCACTTTCATTTTGTTTGCATTCGTTGCTAGGCAACGACTAAAGAGTCGATAGATCGCTGATTGCTCAGACGCACATCATTTTGTGATATTTGTTTCCGTCTCCTTCCCACAAACGTTTACGCGCGCACGGATTCATTGACGCGCCTCTTCCACGTTTTACCATGCGTTTAACGTGTGGCAAATTTACTGGTCGCACATGTGCGACTGGATTTAAAATTCAGTCGCACACTCTCAATTTTTGGTCGCAAAATGCGACCATTTGGTCACAGTCTGGAGCCCTGGTATATATTGTATAAATTGATTTTATTTTATTTTGTTACCACGGTTGACACTTTTCATTTTCTAGTTTTTCATCAAAATGACTTTTTTCAATTTTATTTCAGCTTAATTTATTTTATTGGATAGTGTATAGTGTCATACATCAGTTCCCTTTCAATAACTGAAGCGACAGACAGCCAATCAGATTCCACCAGCATCACTGCACCTGTTGGCCTCTGCAGGTCAAGGAACAGGCTCAGTCTGTCTCAATCTACATTTAGCAACAAAGTCACAAACAATCTGTCTGTCTGAGAAGTCTATCAATTCACAGACACCAAATCTATCTCAGACGAAATCTCAAACTCAAATAACTATGCTGTATTATTAGTCTGAGACTTTTGACTAGTTTATTTTTTTTCCCCTCTGGCTTATCTCCAGTAGGAAGGAGATATCAAACTGATATGGAAAAAGTGACTAACCACAGTTAGCTTGTTAATGAGACATTTAGGGGCGAGCACATCTGCAATAATTGGTACTACAATAATAGTGACAATAGTCTACAAGAAAGGTTCTCCAGACAATACCGAAATAAGCACAGGGACATTTATTCCATTTTCCCCCCAGCCATCTAGAAGTAACAAACTGATTAAATTGCATCTTAAATCAGATTGCAGCTTATAAGTTTAAGAACATGCTTGCCATTTCTGTATATATCATAAACACAAAAGATGGTCTATGAACAGTCGATGGGAACCATCTGATCCATTGGACCATAGCATAGATTATAACCCTATTAAACACACTACAGCCTCTATACCTCCCCTTAAGCCCATCTCAACCATTCACAGCCTCTTGCATGTCTAGAACTGCTTTAATGACACCTCATAAAAGGAAAGTGAGAAGGGATAAGCCTTCAAAAGAAGAGAGACAGCTGCTGGGCTTAGCACCAGCTACTAAAGCAGTAAATATGACAACTATTTTCACCTGAGTGATGGTAAATCCACTACACTTACGGTAAACCCTATTTTAACTTGTGCTACCAGCCAATCCAAAAACGACAAAGGGGAACTTTCATTGGGCAAGTATTAAGTCACATGACCTGACTCACCAGAGTAACAACGGCACACTCAGCTGTGAGCTGGGCGGCACTGAAGAGCGTGCGGACGAATCGGTAGATCTGTTTCTGTTCCGGGTCGTGCTTCTCATAGTCTGACGGCACCTCCGATTTCTGTGGGAAGACGACGTTTCAGGACATTCTGTGCAGGATGTAATTAAACAGCTTATAAATGAGCTGCACTTACTGTAAGTGGATGAAGTTTCTCATCAAAAATGTCTAACAGCATTCGCCCCTCCACATTTCTGTAAGGAGAATGGTTCATGAAATTAGATTAGGGAAGAATTGTCCTTATTGTCTGAGATTTATTCATATAATGCATTAAAGAGCTAGAAAGGAAAGTCTGTCATGATACATTTTCAATGTTTCCAAAACCATTTCCAACCATGTCAAAGTTACATTTCAACAGCTCTGTCGCCTTAAAGTTTGAGGGTTATAAAGCTTTAATGGTTTATATGGCACTAAGGATTTGAGAGAAAGATAGGCACAAAGTCTGAGTAACATATAGAAACAGAACAGAGAAGATATAAAGTATATTGTCAAGTATAGATAAATAGCGAAAGGACGGACGGACGAACAGATAGATAGACACACAGACAGACAGACAGACAGACAGACAGATCGATACGGTAGATAGATAGACAGAGGGATATGGTAGACAGGTAGACAGACAGACAGATACAGTAGACAGAAAGACAGATAGACAGACAGATATGGTAGACAGACAGACAGACAGACAGATACGTGGGACAGAAAGACAGATAGACAGACAGATATGGTAGACAGACAGACAGACAGACAGACAGACAGACAGATAGATAGAGTAGACAGACAAGCAGACGGACGGACAGACACAGAGATCGATAGATATGGTAGACAGACAGACAGACAGATATGGTAGACAGACAGACAGACAGACAGACAGATAGATAGATAGATAGATAGATAGATAGATAGATAGATAGATATGATAGATATACAGACAGATAGACAGACAGAGAGATAGACAGACAGACAGACAGACAGACAGACAGACAGACAGATAGATAGATAGATAGATAGACAGACAAGCAGACGGACGGACGGACGGACGGAGAGATAGATATATATGGTAGACAGACAGACAGACAGACAGACAGATACGGTAGACAGAAAGACATATAGACAGACAGATATGGTAGACAGACAGACAGATAGACAGATAGATAGATAGGTAGATAGGTAGATAGATAGATAGACAGACAGACAGACAGACAGACAGACAGACAGATAGATAGATAGATAGATAGATAGATAGATAGATAGATAGATAGATAGATAGATAGATAGATAGATAGATAGAGTAGACAGACAAGCAGACGGACGGACGGACAGACAGATAGATAGATAGATAGATATGGTAGATATACAGACAGACAGACAGACAGACAGACAGATAGATAGATAGATAGATAGATAGATAGATAGATAGATAGATAGACAAATACTGTAGATATACAGACAGATAGACAGACAGACAGACAGACAGATAGACAGACAGATAGAGAGACAGATAGAGAGACAGACAGGTAGATACAGTAGATAGATAGATAGACAGACAGACATATAGACAGACAGATAGACAGCCAGACAGCCAGAAAGACAGACAGACAGACAGACAGACAGACAGACAGACAGACAGACAGACAGACAGATAGATAGATAGATAGATAGATAGATAGATAGATAGATAGATAGATAGATAGATAGATAGATAGACGGACGGACAGAAAGACAGATAGAATGGATGGGTGGATGATGGATGGATAGATAGATAGATAGATAGATAGATAGATAGATAGATAGATAGATAGATAGATAGATAGATAGATAGATAGATAGATAGATAGATAGATAGATAGATAGATAGATAGATGCAGATGGATATATAGATCAAAAAACAGACAGACACACACACTTTCAGAAGGGAGGGTAATCGATCTTTTCTTCACCCACAGTGCATTGCAACACATGTGGTTGAGAGTATTTGGATCCCTGAGTCCAAACCCATTTATGAACCTCCAGCCTGTCTTTGTGAAGCGCGACACACACTGCTGGACTTCACCACACAAAAGCAGTTTTCCTGCGGTGTCATTCATACTGTCGTGTGTAGTCACTCAAACACACACATCTTTCCCTGAGCTCTCATTGTAACAGCAACTGATCTGATGAGAGGAATGAAAATCATACCTGTTCTTTATATGGTAGTATATTGCGAGGGAGACACTGCAAACAGAAGAAACAATAGAGAGAAGTTGATATAATGAAGTGATCAACAACATGATGCAACGTTAAATCCAATCTAAATGGGACCTACAGCATTTCCGTGAAGCTGTAGAGAGTTATCTGTGAATTGTGCTGCTATATTAAGTCCTTGCTTATTAACTGCATAATGTGCACATAAAAGAATGTGCTATTCTTTTAATGAATCAGTAGAACTGAAAAGCGAATTAGTACAGAATCGGAAAACACTACAGTATGTATGATGCGTGTCAACCACTCATAAAACTATCTTCAATTTATGCCACAAGAGGCCTTGTATACGAAAATCGAATTTCTTAGTAAATGCATATCATCCCGTATCAATTATCACCAAATCTTGGGGTTAATTTTATATATACATTGTCTGATATTTGATTTATAATTGCGCATGTTCATTTGTGCTATTTTTAATCGCTCAGTTAAGTTTAAGTATTTAAAAACAATGATTTAATAACACTGTTAAAAGGTAATATTTAGCAAATTTTGATTCTATTAAAATGTATCATTGATTTTAGATTTCTGTTTCATTACTTTTTTAATTCAGTCAGTATAGAATTTGTAGCAGCCGTTTACATGTTATTATTAGCCATAAAATTAAATTAATTATTGGCTAATTTGGCTTATTATTGATCAGAACTTTAATGGTGCATACCTAAACCTATTCAATCCATAAAGTGACATTGAATGTGATCAGACAGGCAAATTATCTTGAATCAAAAAGAGGAGTCACTGGTTTAATCGAATCAGCTCAGATGTCAAACTTACTCATTATACCAATGGTTATTATAACAGCAATACAATCTAAGAAGTTGTTAAGCCCAATTTCCAAAGGTTTTTCTTTCAAAATTCTCTTTCCACATCCGTTTCAGCTCATTTAGTCCCTGTTTACACCTGGCATTAAAGAGACAGTACACTTTTCACTTTAGTTCACAATTCGAGTACCATTTGATGGTGTATTTGAGGTTGGGTTGGCTGACGGTGCTGTCATCCAGGAAGATCGTCGAACAGGAGCTGTACTTGCGTCTCATTGGACCAGACGGATGTTGCTGAAAGACGAGGTGAAGCATCAGTTATTCTCAAATGCACACACTTTCAGCAAACATGCTGCAAAACAGGCCACCTGCCGCCCCACAGAAGCCATTATCCTCTCATTTATACCTGAGTGGTTCTCACTACATGTGTGCATTAGTGTGGGTAAGATTCCCAATCCAGTACAACACAAACATAGTAATGTATTATGCAACTTACTAGACAACGTTTAGCAAGATATCAAACTGATAAGCAACATTAAAAATGCAAATAAATCCTTAAAATGTCAAAAACAGATACATTATCACAGGAAAATGAATAGAGCAATGAGCAAATATTTACCTTTGACTCCGCAATGTGTGTTAACTTGCAAAGCAAGTAAAAGACATTAAAATAGGAACAAAGCATAAGCTAGTCATAGCAAATTTAGTGTGAAGAGCATGCGGTAATGAAATGAATATAATCAAGCCATGCTTATTAAATCTTTTAAATAGAATTAAAGCATTGAACAGCAAAGAAATGCAGTTTCTGATGCAACACAAGCCCAGAGACTCGTGCAATATTGGTTTGGACATTCTCATGTGGTGGTTGACTGTTGGATTCGAGTAGTTATGAGAGTGTTGTGACACTTGGGGAAATATCTTCATTGCAGACCAAGCATTATGAGAATCGCACTACCAGAAGACACACAACCACTGATGTCATCGCATCTGCTGCTGCTGCTACTTACATGGTTGACGTACAGACTTTTCCGTTTTTCCCGAACTGTAAAGAGAAACGCATGATTACCAACACTCGCACAACAGTCGATATAGTTGTTTAGAGAAAGACAAGGGCCACAATTACTGTGATGTCAGTAACATTAAAAGGGAAGTATGATCTAACATCTGTATTACTGGTCTTGGTCTGTATTTCATTATAAACAGTTTGGGGGGCAACTGAAGAAAATGAAATGTGTTTTAATTCAACTTCTCAAAAAAAAAGAAAAAAAAAAAGAAAGCTGATTGGCTTCATAGACTTATTTTTGAGTATCAGCATGAAGTTTGGTCCACTTTGGAGTTTATTCTAGCCAAGAACTGACACATTAAGCCCCAAGAAGACTTCGGTTTTGTACCCGGATGATCTACTTCACTATCCCATGAGGCCACGGGAGAGGATTTGCGAACAAAGGTGAAGTGACACAACTGACACTGGAAGGTCACATGATAATGACAACATGGCGAATGTAGTACGTCCAGATTGCATTATTACTAGGGCTGTCAAACGATTAATCGCATCCAAAATAAAAGTTTGTGTTTACATAATATATGGGTGCACTGTGTATAATTATTTTATATATATATATAAACACACACACATGCTTGTATATATTTAAGAAATATTTTCATGTATATACTGCATTTAGAGTTGTATATATTATAGTATATATAAATATATATATATATATATTTTATATATAAATATTTTTTTTTTCTTAAACATGCATGTGTATTTATATACGCAAAAATTATTATACACAGTGCACCCACATATATATTATGTAAACACAAACTTTTATTTTGGATGCGATTAATCGCGATTAATCATTTGACAGCCCTAATTATTACTATACAGAAAATAGTTGTACAGCAGTCGTGAAGTAATTACTTATTCAAAACTCAAGAGAGTATGCGGTTTGGGACGCAGCTGTAGCCTTTCAAAGTATACTCCATTTGATTTGTGCGTGAACACTAGGGATGGGCGATTTAGCCTTAAAATTATATCACAATATTTCAAGAATATTTGCAATAATAATATTAATGACGATATAGACAAAAATATAAATGGAACAACGTTATATTGTGATTGCAGCTGGCAGGAAACAGCATTTCTTAGTGCAAACAAAATGAAGGGCATCCTTTTCCAATGAGCTAAATGCCCAATGGGCAATTTTTAGACAATTTCTTTTATTACATTTATCTCACCTAAACGTTTGCTCACTCAAGTTTTTACGAGCTGCACAGATCCAATATACAGTTATGCGTTTTTGTCAACTGTTTACATTCACTTAACACAAAGCCGACAGTGTTTACGAGAATATTTTGACATATATTTTTTTGTGTATTTGTCCATTCAAGTGCAAAAAAAACACAGAAGAGAACTCTGTTCAGTATCCCGCAGTATTCAGGACAATATCAGCAATGATTACGGCGACTTTAACGCTCAGTAAAAAGTTCTGAGAAAATTACCTCAGGTAATACTAATAATACTAATACTAATGCGAGATATAAAGTCGCAATTATGAGAAATAAAGTCGCAATTGTGAAAAAAAAGACAGAATTGATAATTTTTAGGCTATCTCACAATTTAGACTTTTTTTTCTCACAATTGCGAGTTTACATCTCGCAATTCTGACTTTATAACACAATGCGAGTTTAAATCTCGAAATTCGGACATCTTTTCTCAGAATTGTGAGATATGAACTCGCAATTGTGAGTTATCAGGACAATTCGAACTTTTCCCCCCACAGAATAGTTTATATCTCCCAATTCTGACTTTACAACATGCAATTGCGACTTTATATCAATCAATTCTGACTTTATATCACGCAATTGCAACATTTTATTTTCGATTCTGTGGCGGAAACCAGCTTCCTGAGGGCAAATTCAAACGAGATCAAAATACTTGTTGTCTCTCACCATTGACTATTGACTACCATTCAATATGGTCCGATGGTGGTCCACCAGAAGGGGAGGGACTTAGCTCTCTATCCCGTGCGAATTGGCCATTAATATTACAGACACCCTGTGGTAAAATTACATCACTACATCTACCCTTGTAAAATGAATCCCGTCTGAATACAGTTTATGACTAATGACTCTTCTCAGATTAGCTGTTTGACAATATTTCCATCTATATAGTGAATATTTATCTAAACTACGGCACTAGAGCTCTACAGATGACAGCATAGCATACACAAATTTACACAAACAGCTGAGCAGCCAGACAAACAGGACAGAATTAACAACACTGTCAACATGCATAACCCCTTAAATGGCACTAAATTGAGTGTAAATTAATGTGTTTAATGCTGCTGTGATTTAAAAAAAAAAAATTATATTAATTTAAAAAGCTGTTGCCCCATTAAGCAGCTTTAATGTAGTTAGCTAGTTTGTGTTAGCTTGTAGCTAACTACAAGGGTATAGCTTCACTGCTGTTCCACTAAGTAGCCTGTTGCTTATGAAAAGTAGCTTCCTGAACAAAAAAAGCAGTTTGCAGCATGAAAACCAACTACAGACATCTGAATCTATAAAGCTTCAGCACAACACAACAGCAGACTAACAAACACGCTGAGATCAAACATACCTTTCTTGTTGGGTAAAACAACTGAAAAACAAGAAGGTTTCTAAATTAAATCTGAGCATGGATAACAAGGCTGGCATTTACTTGTCCCCATGACACTAATTGTGTTTCGTCACTGTAAACACGAGGCTTCTGATAGACCAGAGTCACAAAACATCTCGCTAACAATTCCCTGAGAAACAAGGAGAATATCATAACATCAGCCTGGGTAGACATATCACCCACTGGGAAGAGATGACAGTTAATAAAGCATTATCACCCAGGGGTATCGTGTAAAATCAAACTATTATTGCTTGGTCTGACTAAGTTAGGGGCATCTACGCGCTTCGCTTGGATCCGACTGAAGCAATCCTGACAGTGGATTCGTTTTAATTAACGTTCCCTTCCGGCATCCAGTCTTAAGGGGAGACTGTCCCACTCATGCGAGTCTCTCTCACCGTCTGTTTGAGACTTGCTGAGAAAGATGGTGCTGGCGCGCGGGTGGTCCGAAGGGTTGTACTCCATGTTGAGCTCTGAGGAGAGAAAAACAAAAACAAAGACAATTTGTTATTCAAAACTGAGGCAAGAGTTACGATTTGAGTATTACTAGAATAAGCAAAATCGGGAAACATTTAGTCAGGCAAGCCACAGTATTTATTTGCACACAGCCTTGGAAAATAGCGACTGTCATTCATGTACTATTATTTATTAATATGTTGGAGTTACCTTTTATAGATTTATTTTATTTTCAGTTTTCATTTTTAGTTCATGTTTTATTTATTATATTTTTGTAAATATGTTTTAAGTTCATTTCAAATTTAAGTCATTTTAGTACTTATTTTATTTCACCGTTATATATATATATATATATATATATATATATATATATATTAGGGCTGTGCAAAAATTAATTGCGATTAATCGCATCCAAAATAAAAGTCTGTGTTTACATAATATATTTGTGTGTGCTGTATAAAATTATTTTTGTATATATAAATACCTATGCATTCATGTATATATTTAAGAATTATTTGCGCTTAAATTCTGTATATATATATAAATACAAATACATAATCTATATTATATAAATATAAATATTTTATATATGAATAACACATTTTCTTAAATATATACATGCATGTGTGTGTATTTATATATACAAAATAATTATATACAGCACACACAAATATGTTATGTAAACACAGACTTTTATTTTGGATGCGATTAATCGCAATTAATTTTTGCACAGCCCTAATATATATATATATATATATATATATATATATATATATATATATATATATATATATAATAAAATTATTGCAAAATCATCTTGGTTAATTGAAAAAAAGCTGTATATATATATATATATACAGCTTTTTTTCAATTAACCAAGATGATTTTGCAATAATTTTATTTAATAACAATAAAACACTTGTTTAGAATGGAATACTAGCATACTCTGCTAGTAAACAGCATATTTTGGCGAATTGACATTAAAAGATAGTAGCAATGTACAGTAATATGTATGTTTTTACTCTGCTATGCCATTATGCCAACACTAGGGGGCATATTTATGATCATGGGAACTATTTCTGAATGAGGGACTAAACCCCTTAATCATTTTAATTTCATTTTACAGTAAAATATGCTGCAATATACATACTATATTTATTATCATATTTACGTTATAGTAATGTTTATAACATTTTTTATAAAATATATTTCATTTTATTGTATTGTTGCCTGCGATCAAATCTACTCGTCATCAAGACAAAGACTTGAAACTTATTTTTTTATTGTAACATTTATTAAGTTACATGTTATATTAATACTAAATTTAATTGTTTCAAGTATTTAATTATGTTTTATTTCATTATTTCATTTATGTAAACATTTATTTTTATTTTTTTAATTTAAGAAATGTCCTTTCAGCACAGATTCCCACCCTGACACACACACATATACACACACACGTCATCAGAGGAAACTAGCGTTGTGGCACACCCCGACCAGGAAACAAGGAACCCAGAGTTCATAGCCTCTAAAACCACAACAGTCAATACTTAAGACATCATCATCATCACTTACTGCAGCGTTTGAGATTTACAAAACTGAGCATTGTTGTGTCAGTGAAATAACTGTTTCAGAGACAGCCACGTGAGCAAGCAGCTGTATTGTGTTAAGTCTTTTGAAGCAGTGTCTTTTTTATGCGGAAGAGCCACTTGAATCTCAAATGAGCCTCGACTGTGAGACGTATGAAGCGCTCTGAGGTGCAGAGGAAAGACTGATTAATAAAAGATGGAGCTTTGTGGGAGAGAAAGGTGGATCTGGATAAAAAAAGTGGAGAGGAGACCAGAGAACAGATGTGAATGTGCCGCCGGTTTCAGAGAGGTTTATGGGTAGCTGGATACATACACTGTAATATTTATGTGTATTATTGAAGAAAAAAAAAGTGCACACTCATGGCAGAACATGTGTAACAACAGTTTTCAATGGGATTGAGTCATTTCCTCTTTTTCCCTGACCCACCCTCAGTATATTGTGAAGAGGAGGAGGTCTGCACACCCCATGACTTCCTCACACTGAGGAAACAGCTTCTAACACATACACACTAGAGCATGTACACATCCGTATGTAGAACATCCTTCAAGCATGGGCAAAACTACAAGTTAGTTCCCTGTGAAATCCGTTTTATTTCATGCTTACCGATGCCCTATGTGGTATTTTACATTCTATAAAGGTTTTAGCAACGGCATTAAGGATAAAGATATGAGCCCATAGCTCATAATTATTCTTAATCAATAGGGTAAAATGTTTAATTAGGTCAATGATTGTTTCTGACCTGAATTACAGCTCTAGCCCAGTTAACAGCACCAGCTGTGGCCTGTCTCGGGCACGGCTCATTGGACAGCACAGGCTGGCATAAAGCCCTAGAGTCTGCCTGGCATCAGTGCCCACTGCTGTCAACATCTCCCCGGCAGTCACTGACAAATGTGCATGTTCACACTCAAGAAGAGCAAAGCCACATGAAGAGGACATCCAGGACTAGACGGACGGCCATTGGACACTCACTTGCGTATGACCTATTTTTTTCCACAGTGGCCGTATAATCAGTTACAGAATCAAGCAGTTACTTTGGTGTTCTTGTAAAAGAGCTTCCTGAACTCCAGACGACAGGAGAACCTGATGTTCTGCCCAACTATGCAGACACAAGCTTTTTTTTGGAAACAATGTAGATCACAGTAAGGGCAGATCAATATTAGCATCAATTTACACCCACCTAAAGGATTATTAAGAGCGCCTGTTCAATTTCTCATGAACGCAAAAATCTAATCAACCAATCCCATGGCAGTTGCTTCGATGCATTTAGGGGTGTGGTCCTGGTCAAGACAATCTCCTGAATTCCAAACTGAATGTCAGGATGGGAAAGAAAGGTGATTTAAGCAATTTTGAACGTGACATGGTTGGGCCGGTCTGAGTATTTCACAATCTGCTCAGTTACTGGGATTTTCACACACAAACCATTTCTAGGGTTTACAAAGAATGGTGTGAAAAGGGAAAAACATCCAGTATGCGGCAGTCCTGTGGGTGAAAATGCCTTGTTGATGCTAGAGGTCAGAGGAGAATGGGCCGACTGATTCAAGCTGATAGGAGAGCAACTTTGACTGAAATAACCACTCGTTACAACCGAGGTATGCAGCAAAGCATTTGTGAAGCCATAAAATGCACAACCTTGAGGCGGATGGGCTACAACAGCAGAAGACCCCACCGGGTACCACTCATCTCCACTACAAATACGAAAAAGAGGCTACAATTTGCCAGATCTCACTAAAATTGGACAGTTGAAGACTGGAAAAATGTTGCCTGGTCTGAGGAGTCTCGATTTCTGTTGAGACATTCAGATGGTAGAGTCAGAATTTGGTGTAAACAGAATGAGAACATAGATCCATCATGCCTTGTTACCACTGTGCAGGCTGGTGGTGGTGGTGTAATGGTGTGGGGGGTGTTTTCTTGGCACACTTTAGGCCCCTTAGTGCCAATTGGGCATCGTTTAAATGCCACGGCCTGTCTGAGCATTGTTTCTGACCATGTTCATCCCTTTATGGCCACCATGTCCCCATCCTCTGATGGCTACTTTCAGCAGGATAACGCACCAGTCACAAAGCTCGAATCATTTCAAATTGGTTTCTCAAACATGACAATGAGTTGACTGTACTAAAATGGCCCCCACAGTCACCAGATCTCAACCCAATAGAGCATCTTTGGGATGTGGTGGAACGGGAGCTTCGTGCCCTGGATGTGCATCCCACAAATCTCCATCAACTGCAAGATGCTATCCTATCAATATGGGCCAACATTTCTAAAGAATGCTTTCAGCACCTTGTTGAATCAATGCCATGTAGAATTAAGGCAGTTCTGAAGGTGAAAGGGGGTCAAACACAGTATTAGTAAGGTGTTCCTAATAATCCTTTAGGGTGAGCGTATATCACAACTACCCCTTTGAGTTTGACACGTCAACAAGTTAAAAAAAAAAAGAATCCATATGAATCGAGTGGTTTAGTCAAAATTTTCTGAAGAGACTTGATTGCTTTATATGATGAACAGATTGTAAGTAACTTACTAATTGAGTAATTAACTTGTATTCCCATATAACCTTCATTAACACACATCAGTTGTGGTAAACAGAAGCTCAAGCATGTTCGCTTGACTTGCGAGAACCAATGAGGTTCATTCTCACGTTACACATCATGTTTGCGCTTCAGCAAGAGGTTTGTTCTCGAGCGTCAAACAGGTTCGGTTGAGCTTCGGTTTATGTTGGCTGATCAATGTTTATATAAATGTGAATAAAACCCTAAATTCAATCTGTTCATCTCTTTATTAACGTTTTGAACCTTCAAAGTGGTAGTTGCGTAGCTGTCAATGGAAGGACAGAAAGCTCTCGGATTTAATTAAAAATATCTTTATTTGTGTTCCCAAAGACCTTTCAGGTTTGGAACAAGTTTGGGCTGAGTAATTAATGGCATAATTTACATTTTTTTATGAGAACTAACCCTTTAATAGATATTTAACATGGAAGTTAGAAATGCTCTTTTTCTGACGCAAGAAGCCACAAAAGCCTCTCCTGCTGTCAGCTCTCAGTCTCATCAGCCTTGCCAAGTTCATTCCTGTCACCCAGACGGCTCTGCAAATCCCTGGATGGGAGGAACTGGGGTTTCATGGCTGACGTAAAGCTCAAGAGATGAGAAGCTACTCATCACTAGCACAGTGGTGGGGATTTCACCGGTTCATGCCCATCATACTCTTTTTTTTCTCCAGCAGCAAAAAAACTAATTCATCCACTTTAATAGAAACTGAATGATGAAAGAATGATTGTTTGATACAACCAATTAAAAAATGTTTTTGGTTAATGCCTGAATACTTTCTGGAAGATTCATTTCAAAGGTTATTGATTCAATACTCTCCAATATAATGCAAACAAAGACTCAATGCCTCATAACGATTGAAATCTGTCCAAAATTGGTCTCGGACA